ATATCGCACGTCTTATCTTCCTCCAATTCCTGTTTCATTGTGCTCCAAATGCGTTATATCTGTATAATTAGGAAGGATTTTTGCGATATATAACCGATACAGTCAGTCTGTAATATTGCATGAATATCGGTTCAGATTTATCTATAGTTGCCATAATAATGTTTCAACAGATTTTACATTTGTGCATTCCTAAATAACAACGATATTTTGTACGAGTGACCACATTCATCCTACACACGCTTCAGCTAAATCTGCCAAAAATCCCGTCAGATATAGCTACCGCAAAGTCTCTTTATGTTAAAGATATCAGATTTTGGCGTAATTTGCAATTGGTCTGTTCCAGATCCTGTAGGAATCCACTAGTTTTTGCAATTTTGTCCGATACCCTAAGGGGATAGATATTTTTTGTTCATACTTAGAGGGGAATTAACAACGGAAAGCAGTTCGAGTGTGAACGCAAGGATTTTGATTATTAAGTGCTATTGATTTCCTGAACAAAACGAGTTTGAAAGGATATCGAAGCAGAAACAACATTTATTTGTTACAGTTCTACTGAAATGTGCTGGGAAAAGTAGACCTTTTCGCCTTGATTTATACTCGGTCGTTGCTGGGAAATGCCTCTCCATTGCCCCCACCACCACCGTCATCTTTGATCCCAAAGATTGGCAAAAGAAAATATTCAATAGAAAGTCAGTCAGCCACATTGTCACAAAAAGAAAACAGAGGGAAATATAATAATACCGAGGCACACGCACACGACATCCACAATAATATTTATTTCTTTTATCGGAGCGGATGTGAGTGTGCACAGACAGGCGGGGAGAAGGAAAGGACATGTCGCGATACAAATGAGCAGTTCTCCGCTCCGCTCTGCTCCGTTCCTCATCTCGCAGAACGCCAACACAACATTACAAGTCAAATATTTGCTCAAACACGACAAATACTGTCTTGTGGTAAGCTTAAGATGAGGGCACTAACAACCAACCCCCACCCTCCTGGCAAGAGGGCTGCTACTCAGTGTCCTACGAGCCGGTGAAATGTTCTCAGCTTCAGTTTACTGCTTGCCAGCGACGAGTCTTTGCCCACGATTTAATGCTTTGCTCACAGCCATGATTTCATAGATGTCTGGTGTTCGCACAACCGCAGGCAGTCGACGTGGCAGCCCCCTTCCCACGAAGTCATAAAAACACAATTGAATACAGAAGATAAAGAGAGGAACAGTTGTTGACTGACCCCCACCCGTTCCATTGTCGGTCGATGATATCTTCATTTGTGTGTAAATATTTTGGTAACATTTCACACTTCTCCCAACTTTTGATATCCTCGCACCAGAGGAGTGCGACAACAAATACAACTGGCAATTCGTTTTGCAAAAACTCGTTTGGGCGCGTGGGTGGGCTGGGGTTTTGAAGGCTGCTGTCCTCCCGGTGCCCTGGCAGTGCCACACAAATGCCACACTCGGTCTTCGATGGTCGAGTATCTAATCATGACTACACCTTGCCACTTGTGGAAGTGACCTTGTGCTATTGTCACAGACAAAGAAGCAATAGAATTGGCTGGGAGAAACGTCATTGGGCAAACAATTGTTGGGTACGTCATGAATGGGAGAGCTTCTTATCAGGATTGTTGCAACATTTTGTTGACTGATAGCTCCAGGACTTTAAATGTTGTCGATACCTAATACTTTCAATTCCATTTTGTCGCATTTTGACTTGCTGGGATATTGAAGCGATTGTTTTTTCTATTGGCCACGCAGCATTTACTTTGTCTTTAAGTTTTAAGAAGGAATTTATATTAAAAAAAAAACAAACGAATAAACAATTGCTAATAGTTCTCAATACGTTAGAGAACTACACATGTGTCTTCATACATTTGTGTGTGTAGGCGACATACGTCTACAAAATAGCTGTCAACGGAATGTTTTAAAAAGTAGGAGCTAAAATAGGTTATTTCCAGCATGAAAGGAAATATTCATCAAAATGAATTTATTTAGGGACTATAAGAAACTTGCATATGCGCACAACCTAATTTTATGGGGTTTAATCAAGTCATAGGTAGAGGCTTGCACTCCTAACTGTGCAAGGGGATATCATGAAGTTCCATTACCTAATGTTAAGGGTTAATACCCCAAAGTGAGTAGAGAGGGCCATGGCAATGGGTCAGGCAAATTATTCCATTAAAAATATTGATGAAATATCCTTATATAAACGGGGTTGTCCTGAAATACAATGTAGACCAATGTGAATGTATCGTCTCGAGTTCGAAGGATGCCACAGCCTTTCGGTGTTTCTCATTTCGGTTTGTGAGTCATGTTCGTCTCCCGTGTCGTTTTGTTTGAGTCCTCGCTTAAGTTCCATTGGGTTGTTCGTTTTTGTTACAAAATGTATTCAATATCATATCGCTTTTTGAAGAAAATCCCATGTCCGGATAAAGAAGAGGACAAAGAGATACACTTTGTCATTAGGACCTCGAGATTTCTAAGGCAATAAGATTATATTGTATGTTCCAATTGTCTATTTGTATCCTTTAATACTTAATCTGAGATTTTTACATCTGTATTCTGCTTATATTTGCGATTTGAATGGCTTCCAGGCACTAGTGACACGACACAAAAGATTATTAGGTTCGGTTTACAATTGCCGGCTAGGTGAAATTTCGCTGCAGTAGTTTGCAGAACTATGTTGAAATTCACGTTTTCATTGAGAGGCTTGATCCCAATTTTTGTTGTTGTAGGCACGAGGTTTATTGATTTTTGGAGAAAATGTCAAGTTCATAGTTTCGGAATCGTCAGTTCCAAATATGCCTGAGGAGTAGCTTAACCAACGACGAAACGCGTCGCATATTGGTGAGTGTGTGATAGTGTCATAGAGTCGAGGATTGGTGCCTTCTTCGAAACCATTGTCTTCCCAGCTTTACACGTTGGCAAACACTGCCATTTTCCACAACTCACATTAAACGTTGTTTAAAAAGAAAAACAACAACAACAATAGTATTAAGCACTGCTAATTCAAGAAGGTCACACAGGAGCCAATTCAAATGGCTCCGCTTTATGGACTGTTTATGTATTTATTTTAATAAAATGGAATTGGCGTATTTCTTCTCTTGCTGTCACACTGTCTATTGCGAGAAACCCATCAGAACAGAAGATTAAAACATATTTCAGAATATTTTAGAAATTAATCTTTTCTGAATGTATATGTCCGTCAGAACAAAAGCAGATCACTTAATATTTGTAATTAAGAGAATTTGATCGTGTCACCTTGTAAACCGTACCGTGTCATCTTGTAGACACCCTGGTATTAAGACACCTTGCTAACATAATTAACAAAGAGAAAGTAAGCTAATAATAGTATAATTATCGGTAATTTTAAGTTATAAATATAATTGTTAATAAATAACCAATGTTGTTATACAGAGTCCCAAGACTTTGACCTGATCAAATACTTCCTTGCTCTTTTACAGCCAAATGATAAGTCAATTTGTATTATTTTTTAATAGGCATACGTCACTCAGATCAAGTAAACTCCTATTACTGCTAAGTCTCTCGAAATTTCGAAGCTCGTCCAAAACGTAGTAGTTTGTTGGTAACGTTTTTTTTTTCAAAGCAATAACTATTAAATCCGTAACAATTGGAGATTTGGGGCCCAGATTCAAAACCAAATAATCATTATTTTTACAAGACAGTGCACCGTTAGGATACACAAGACTTATATATTACAAGACTTATTGGGTTGTGTGTTCCGAATCCGGTTTATCTTGTAATTAAAATTCACTCCACGATATGTTATTTCCTTACTAATTTTTATTCGCCAACGCAAAATAAAACAAAAATCGTTATTTGATCGAAAGGAGTTTTATATTGTCTTCGGATTAACTTTTCAGCTAAATATCTGAAAACCCCGCCACAATCTTAGTTTTTTTTTGAGTAAAATATTGAGAACTTAAACATAAGCGCCCTTGCTATTTTCGTAATTCCAGTGAACTATTTTTAAGAAAATTAAATATTGGACAATTTAAAAAAGTAATGAATGCATGATTTGTTGCTATCCCACTCAATTTGTCATGCCTTACCTTGCACTGCTTGAAAACACACTCGTGAAGGGATTCCTAGGTATTGCAAGGTTTTAATTTTTTGCGGGGAAAGTAACTGATGCTCATCGCTTAGAGTGTTTGGGTTTGTCACATGTCCACGCCAGCTCCTCCTACCAATTTCCTTTATGAAAATGTTCTCTAAAGGAGCGGGAGAAACAAATTTGTTTTTCCACTGATCATCCTAAATATAAGCTGGGGTATTTTGTGGCTACAAACATTCGGGGCCTACGGGCAACATTGCCGCATCGAGCATTGATTTTTGTCAACAGGCTAACTCGGTTTGGCTGAAATGCAACGAGGGTGAATTATGAGGAGTAATCATTCAAACCGTTCCACTGCTCACGAATTGTAATCCCACAGATGAGTGCGCGTTCAAGTGGGTGTTTAAATTGAATTTGACACGCTAAACGCCAGTGTTTATTTGCTGTGCGACAAGTGCCACGGGGACAGCCGCACCAAATCCTCCCCCAATGTATGAATGAGACTCTTTCTTTTTGTTTGGCTGGCTGGCTGGCTGGCTGCTCGACTGAGGTTGACGAGATTGGCGAGTGTGTATGTGTGTGTGTGTGTGTGTGTGTGTGTGTGCAGCCCAATCACTTTCACACAGAGTGCTCGTAATGCAATTTAACCTAATAATGAACGCATCAAGAAACATAATGTTGTCATCCCGAGTCGAAAGGCGGATGACAGTTGCCTTATTTTCTGTGTTCGCTTCTTCCGCCAAGGCGCGATGGTCTATCATCAATCAGGGACGGGGACGGGGACGGGGGTATGCGGTGGAATAAAGCAGACAAATGCTCCTGTCCTCTGAGTACTATTTCATCTGCAAGCGTCGTGTATGAGCTCTGTGACCTTCTCGCCGCCACTCTGCCCGAAGCAGAACTTCGAAATAAAACACAAGCAGGGGCTTCTTAACATTGAAAACCAAAAAGGTGATTAAAATTTATTTACTGGCATTATCACAAAAATATATACAAATGTAAATATGCATCGTTACGTAATTTACACGCCTAGGATATACATTAGACGATGTGTTCTCCGATACCAGATAGTGTGTGTATGTATGGATGCATGCATACACAATGTGCACTTAATACTAACCGACCACTGCCTTTCCATGGGAAATGACTGGTGCCCAAAGAAGTTTTTCACTCGACATTTGTTACTCATATTTGCCGAACGACGCTTGCTTGCACAGCGTTAGTTCAAAACGTCGTCCATATGGCTGTTATATCCAACGGAAGTTTTTACTATTCTAGTTAGAGAATGATAGCCGTTCTTCCGCGGGAGCATTACTTCCACGATAGTCGGCGCACGCATTACGTTCGACGGCATTCAAGGATTAAATGTTGTCGCAAAAATACACACATATATCTGAAATGATTCTTCAGAGCCAGTCGTTAGTAAATATGGAGGGATGGCGTTGCTCAGTATCGCTGGAATCGAACGACTCTGTCCATGTCCAAGTGTCAACTGGTTCAGCGTTAATGGGAACTATTTTAATGAACAGACAATTCATAGTTGACAGGTGACAGTTGAAGTCATCCGACATGAAATTGCGATAGAAAAGATTCGTGCAGCATGCATTTTTCAAAATATACCGAAAATTAGAAGAGGGACTGGGTCTGAAAAAAGTTTTCAGCGTTCGGAAACACATTTCCCGGGCTTGCCACAGATGTGCATTGGACAAGCGAGTAGAAATGATTAATGCTTTTGGCTTAGACGGCAGGTTCGGCAGCACCAAAACGCAATGGAGTTGGTCAAATGATATTACCAGACGCTTGCGTCGTGGCCATTGCTAATGTGGGTGACGATTTCGCGGACTTGATGCAGCCGAACGAGGATACCCCGGTGCTGTTGCTGCTGGGCGGAGAGGGTGGCGTTTCTGGGCTGATGAGGGGCGTGCATCCGAAATAGCGCCATGGGTGGTACAAACTGCCAGCGTACATCGCCTGAAGACGGGCCTGCAAGTCGAGGGCAATTGTTGGGTCCAGGGGGTAGTGTGAGAGAGCGGCGGGAAAGGCGTTTGAAAGTCGTGGGGGCATATTTAAAGTTAGTTCTAAAGGTGATCCGAAGGAATACTTCTGCGCAACGATGGTTGAAGGTGTTGGCAATCCACCCTGATGGCTAGTTCGCTGGTGGTTGTGTAACAGGCCGTTTGCTCCACCGACATGTGATTCGCCGTGGCTTTGTCCATTGCTGTTACTCGCATTTATGCTGTTGTTGTTGTTGTGTCCACCTGGTACGGGTGACTTATTTAGTGTCTTGGGCTTCCGCCTAGGTCGATACTTGTAGTCGGGGTGTTCCTTCATGTGCAAGGCTCTGTAACGAGATTAAAATGATCATAATTAGTTAAAGTCTTATCAAGTATGCTCCTGAAAATAATCACAAAAAATGCTGCGGCGATTTCAAGACCTTCAAAAATCCATGAATAAAGGAAGCATTGAAGTTTGGACATATTCAGATCAACCCTGATCAAAAGATTTAATTCTTATCTTCCCCAAAATTAAAGGATAATTAATAATTCCATAAGTAGAAATACAAGGTATAAATCACATTGACCCTAAAAAATAAGAAAAATTATAATTTTTTAAAGCCTTATTTATAAAAAATAAAGACACATTAGAAATTAAATAACCTTTTAAACCACCAGGAAAAATTTGCCAGTCAAATGGAGTCTGTCAGTTTTCGTTTTAAATTTTCGTCATGATGAAGTCGGCGGAACTTGGTAAGCACTTTCTACGTTTGATCTGAGCGAAATACATTCCTAAAATCCATAACAGTCGGTAGTGTGTCCCTAACAGTTATATTGTTATTTCAACTAAAATAAAAAGCTTTTCACATATCTTACCCAAAGCCTACATAAGGTCGGCCAAGAAGAGTACTTTTGGAAATAATTTGATAATAAACTTAGTAGTTTTTGGCCTGTTGCGATCTTACTCTGTTTGAATTTCAAACTTACTGGCAGACCTTATGTAGGGCATGATCCAATGATGTGTATAACTCAATTGAGAGTGAGTATAAGAGCGTAACCGAGAATCCACCATTCAAACTCGCTGACGAAAAGACAGAAAAGAGAATACGCGTATAACTGTGCCATTAACGTACGTTTTTGGGCAGCGAACGAAAACAAACGAAACGAATAACGTAATGATCCCACGAAGTCACAAACTTTAAAAATATTTTCAATCGTTTTGTACTTCAAGCAAAACAATACCAGAAGTACACAAACAATACGATTGCCTTAATGTACTTCGGCTGTGATTTGCCGAGCAGTATCGTTGCGAACGAATCGCCGAGAAACGTATCCAAACGTTTGCTGTGCAGAATGAGGACTGCTATATTTAGAGTCGTGATTGTAAATATTGTTTTTACACTGTTTCGTTTCCAATGTTGCGTCATCCAGCAGAGTACATTTCAGTTTTGTTTTTGTTTCCACTTATCTACGCAAACAGAACAAAATACAAAAGAAGTCCCGTTATCTTAATATCGGTTGTGTTTAGTTTCGTTTCGCTCTTCAAGAAAATACGGAACAAAACGATTGCAAACGTTTGGTAAAGTTTATTTTCGAACGCTGTTTTTTGGGCAGTTTTGCACATCAATGGCATGATCTTACCCATTGAATACTTGGAACGTTGTTGACATTGATTTTTGACATTTCATGTCTAGCTTTCTAAGAGATTTACTTTTTCACTATGGTAAAATGCTTTATAGGACCCTACTACCCAAATTGCATTGCATTGTTGCTTTGATTCGGTAGATGTCGTTGGTCCCATTATCATGACATAGCATTGTTATAGTCTAACAGACATTATAGTCTAACAGACATTGAGCAACGAAGCGAGAAGTTAAAGCGATCGGACGTGTTTTTTTCCTAGCTCCAATAAATAAGCAAATTGAGACGGTTTGTAAAATATTTGAACAATAAAAAGTTGATAAATATACCATTAAATGATTGCTAGTGCAGCTAGAGAAATTGGTTTCTATATTCAAATGATAATAAGTGCATTTTAACCAAAACATTCATGTGTTTTAAAACAAATATCGAAAGCATAAGAAAAAAAAAACACAAAAATAGTGGAGAGAGATTGAGAGAGTGCACAGAGTAAAACATTTTGAAGTTTATGCCAAATGTTATGTGTGAAGCAGTGCATTGTGCTAAAAAAAGAGAAAAGTAAAAAGCTTTTTTTTTTTTTTTTTTTTTTTTTTTTACACTTTCATCCTAAAACTGCGCATTAACAATTAGCCATTTTAATCCAGATTTGTTAATCAAATGTCGGCCTAAAAGTATGCTTTAAAAACATCAAATTTTTACTTTTGAATTTTAATAATATGTGGTGAATATATACATATACATGTGCCTAAAAGTATGCAAAGATTTTGAATACATTACAAAATAAAAATTTCAAATAAAACAATAAAAAAAAAAAAAACAAAATTATTCAAACTTCAATTTTTATTTTAAACTTCTATATTAATTAATAAAATAAAATGCCATCAAATACTGGCCGTAGAAGCCTGAGATCAAAAAAGATAGTTTGTGCTCACTGTAAACTTGATATAAATGAAGATAAAGATGATTATATTGAATGTGATAAATGCTCCAAACTTTATCATATAATATGTACAAAATTGGACAAGAAACAGTATGAGCATTTATTAAAACATGAAGAGGACGAATATATTTGTCAAGTTTGTGATGATAAACCGGATACTATGATAACAAATCAATTAAAACGTATGGAGGAAAAACTTGATAAGATTGATCGCCTCACAGAGTCAGTTGAATTCATGTCGAGTAAATTTGATGAACTGATGAAGAGTATTCATGTTAATACAAAAAGAATAGATAGTGTAGAGAAAGAAAATACAATCCTTAAATCGGAAATAAAAACATTAAAGGAATCCGTGAAAATGTTAAATGACCAACGGGTCAAAAATGATTGTGTCATAAACGGACTTAGTGGCACAGGTAATCAAAGTGCTGTGCAAGCTGTTATTGCCCTCTCAGAAACAGTTGGTGTTCAAATGAATGAAGAAAATATTGAAGAGGCATACTTTTTAAAAAAGAGAAACACATATTATTGAGGCCGTATCTTTTAATTTTTATTTTTGTCTTCGATGATGTCCGCCATTGCCTATGCATTTTTTTCCAATCATTGTAGTTTTATGTCCTTAGAATAGAGTAATTCAAAATGTAGGCCTATTCTGTAACGTTTATCGATTGAAAAGATGTTAAAATTAGTTTTGCCTGCCCTGTTCCAGAAACTGTAGGAATATACAGGTTTTGCAATTGTTTTCAATATCATAAAGGGAAAAATCGGTTATCGTGGAAAGAGTTACAGGATAGGTCTACTGATCAAAAATTTTTTATTGCATTTATGCTAATAGACACACCCGCATGTAAAAAACCATGGCAAAACAATAGAGGTCTACTCAATTGCTAAATCGAATATGGCAAAACTTTTCTAAAGTACCCATATCTTAGGAAGACGAATTTTATTTATCTTGTCTTAAGCTTAAACTTATAAAAACTTCAAATTAAGGAAACATTCTCGGTCCTGTTAGTTCTTGTGTGGTTCTCGAATAACGTTTTATTTCAAGCCAGTCTTTAACGCCACAATAACTGGCTGAAAAATGTTGAAAAAATCTTTACAATATCTGTTTTATAGATTCTGTATAAAATGGCATCTTTCGCTGACAATTTTCTGTAATGAAATTAAGGCCAAGTTCGAGGTGACAATCTTCTACCAGTATTATACAAAAACCAGTCGCGATATTGTCGATCTTCATACTCGTTCTAGATGCCGCAAAATTATACATTGAAACAAAATTCCACCATTTCATAATCAAACCTTACATGACTTATCGGGATAATATTTCAGTCTTCTGTTTTAGATTTTATTCGGCCATGATTTTTATACCCTCAAAAAAGCGCGAAAATCGCAAAATATTTGGTCGGAAAGAAATCTACATTTCTTTCCAGTTGTGCGCTCATCTTTAAGGAAGAACTGCAAAATTTAAATTTGACACTTTATGGACCTTAGATAAGAGTTTCCGCTGTCGTGATATTTCTTTTTTTTCTATGGCGTTAGTTAGACTGAATGGATTTTCTTTTTTCCCAAACCATCCGTTTATGACATTAACGAAAAACTAATTCATATTTTTTCTCATTTCAGTATTGCGGAGTTAATTGGCGATTATCTGATTCTCAAAATGTATCCCAGATTGAGAAGTCTGCCATGGATGACAGCAACGCAATGACATGTAGAGTGAGTACATTTTGTTATTTATTTATACACTTGACGCGTTTTACATACAAACATAGAACACATCTTTGGTTCTGAATGCGTGTTTGATGAGGATACTGTCTATTATTTATGAGTTTGAAAACTTCCATATTTTGACTCGAGTATTCGAATTTGGCGATACACATGTTCATACATATGCGCTCATTTGACTTATTTTTGAATTCAATGGGAATGTGAACGAACACCCTATAATGTTCTCACTTCGGTGATAAGTAGTAAATTTCCTTATTTTTAAGCCACACACACACACACACACATACATGCACACCTATGTCCCCTGGCACACGTAGAAGCTATTCTAATGAGCTTGATGGTGTCGTGCGTGTTTGCATTAGATATGAATGAAGGTAATGCGAAGTTATGAGTCGCCTGGCCGAACAATAGATCAGTCTACAATTATTGTCTTAATGTCAAAATTAAATGAAAATGAAAACAACAACAACAAGATATGAAACAGAAACAAATTCAATGGTGATCATTGTTCTTTGATTTGATTTGTCGATGAAAGAACTCTTTTGTTAGGGGTTCGATCCATTGTTTGATTCTGAAAAGACGCAGATGGTCGACACGGACACAACCAGCGCTATCAATTGATAAGCAGGAGAAAATGAGAAGGTAGAAAATTTTAAAAGCTGATATCCCACAAATTTGCCTGGAAATTAGCCGTAGCCGAAAGATAAGTGGTTGTTTTAGAGAAATCGCATTTAAAAAAGACAAGACAGCTTGTGGCGTGCATTAATTTAATAGCTAGAACATAAATGAAGTTATGAATGAAAATCGTTATAAGTGGGAGAAACTAAGGATAACTGATTAGAAACTAAGGACCAAAAATTTAGTGTCCTCTGCCATGTCCATTTGTAAACAATGTCATCTGAATAAGCACGATGCCTTTGAAATGTTTTTGATGCATAGATGACTAAAGTCCTACACAATTCTATCAATTCTAGATTATCCTTATTTGGTACCTTTTACTTCTTCCGGCCTGACAGAGTTATGGAACGTAGTTTCAATCGAAAATTCAGCTCAGAAAATACTTTTCCAGCTAAATTTACTCAATAAACTATTCCGAAAGGGTACAACAATCTTTACTCGTGTACGCATGTGTACTTAAGGTAGATTTACACAATTGAAGCATTTTGGAGAAAATTTTAATCGTGGAAACCTAGCTGTAATATATTTTATATTTATTTATTTATACCTCGAAATAATAAAATTCATTTTGACCTTTCAATGGAAGGATGTCGTGTGGCATTAAACGGATGACAACTCCTAAAATATTTTACTTTAAATACATTGATCTTTGGCGACATCAGTTGCAAAACATTTAGAAATTTATTTTGGCAACATCCGCTGACGCCAGAAAGGAAAGGAGGTGAGAAGGACATAGGGGAAATGTTATGGCTTACCTCAAGCGCTTCGCCTCGTCTATAAATGGACGTTTTTCTGATTCTGATAACAGTTTCCACTCAGCTCCCAATCGCTTTGATATTTCGGAGTTGTGCATCTTTGGATTGTCCTGAGCCATCTTGCGCCGCTGTCCCCTTGACCAAACCATGAAGGCGTTCATGGGTCGTTTGATATGATCGCCGTTGTGACTGTTGGCCGCACTGCTCTGTTGGTGGGCTGTGTGATTAACGGTTGTTGGCATTGTGTCGTCCACTTCTGTCGCGACGGAGACTGTTCGGGGAGTTGTGTCGGACAAATACGGAGCAGTTCTCTTTCAAGTCCTCTCGATTATGCTACAGATGAAATATCAGTGTTGACATACCATTTATAACCTAAAATCAAATAAAAATCGGATGGAATGTAATTATCTTGCCGAACTGCGTCCAATATTGTTGCGAATAAAAGATCATAGATCATAAAATTGTCTCATCGTTCAGGACCACATTTTTTATTGTATTGTAACATTCAGAACAAGGTCTATATAAGGTTCAGCACCATTCTTATTAATTAAATCACAATGTGTCTATTGACATCAAACTAAGTTGTTAGATGAGCTCACTGGCCGACCTTATACAGGCCATGATACAACTCATGTTGTGTAAAACGTCGAATGCATGCGTGAGGTATTATGTAGGGGTGTGAAATTAGTATTGTCTGGGGTTGTCACAATCAACACAATATGTAAAGATAAGAATTTAAGAACGCGAAACCAATTTTCCAAATTATTTACCTTTGACAACATCTGATTGTCAAAATGTACACTGGTGGCCAAAACTAAAGCAACTTAAATCGCAAAGACGATAAATGTCCTGTAACTTTTACAAAAATAAACAAATCCAGTTTTAAATGAGAGGTTTAATTCACTTCTAAGAAACTAAAAATAAAAACACAAAAATAATTTTGAACAAAAAATAATATGTGGAAAACTAAAATGACCCAATTTTTGCTTGGTCAAAACTAAAGCAACTTTTGATTTTTAATTTTAAAATAATTAAAGTTTGGCTATTAGTCGATAACGCAACCATTATTTTTGATAGCAACTGCACACCTACGAGGCATTGAAAGTTGTGCTTATTTATTTCCGAATCTCGCTTGATCTTCCTATCTACGATACTCCAAAGGTTTTTTATGGTGTTTAGGTCAGGTGATTGTGCCGGCCATAACAAAACATCAATTTTTGACTCCCGCTACCAATATTTGACAAGTTTTGATACAAGTTTGGGATAATTGTCATGCTGAAACACCCAAATCAGTCGAATATTTTACTCAGCGTAAGGGAACAACGTGATGTCCAACACATCTTTGTAAACAAACCGATCCACAACTTTCTTTATTTTATGGATAGGCCCAAGTCCATAGAAAGAAAAACAGCGCCACGCCATTTTTGACCCTCCCTCATGCATCACTGTACCTTTGCAACACTGCGCTTGAGTCCTTCATTTTTTGGTCTTCTCACCGTAAAATTTTTCACGTCTGAGCCTTTAATATTAAACGTAGACTCATCCCAGAAATAATATTTTTTCCATTCAGCTTGATTCCACTTAATATTATGGTTTCCGAAAGCCTTTTTGCTTTTTTTCAGATATAAATGGTTTTTTGATGTCTTACGGTCATGCAGACCAGCTGCCACTACTCGTCTACGCACTTATCTCGAGCTTATATCCAATGATTGCTCTCTCACAAATCCAGTTGAACTCTTAAATGGTTGTTTTTTATTTCTCTCACAATTTGTGGATCAGTACGGGCTGAAGTTTTTCACGGTCTTCATCCGTTATAGACTGTTACTACTGATCCAGTTTCAAAAAACCGACTTAGTATAGAAATAATTATGAAATCACATAAATTAAATAAATATTTCATAAATATTTCTCGGAAATCATTTTCTGTGATATGTTGTTTTGATAGTCACTGATAATTTGCTGTTTCATTCAGGTACTGTATTTGCTTCTAGCCATTTTTAAATTTTTTTTTGGGCAGTACTTAAAAAACGAAAAGAAAAACACATACTGTTGTAAAAAACTTCTCAAAAAGGAATTATGACAAGCGAAATTGTCGAAGAAAGCAAAAAGCGATAAATATCACAGTAAAAACAACTGAAATTGCAGCGGTTATATGAATGTACAGCAGAGTTGCTTTTGTTTTGTCCAAGCCAAAATCGGGTTAATTGACTTTACCAAACATTATTTTTTATATAAAAATGAATTTTGGTTTTATGTTTTAGGTTTTAGGTTTTTAAAAAGTGAATAAAGTACCTAATTTAAAACAAGAAAAACTTTCTCATTTTCTTAATTTTTAAAAAAGTTACAGGGCATTCATTCTCCTTGTAATTTCAGTTGCTTTAGTTTTGGCCACCAGTGTATATCCATTGTATATCCCAGAGATGGGAATCTATTTTCAATGTAGTTAAACTTGACAGGGTGAATTAGAAAAAAATGCATTTGTATTTGAAATGTGGTTGCCTCGATTTAATTGTTGGGGAAAAATCTAAAATTATCCAAACTTCTCTTGGGCTTTGACATGTCAGTTTATCCATGACAACCAAGAAACACTATAGGTTTCGCCCGCATAATTTTCCTGACCTGAAAATATTTATATGTAGATTTCCCACAATTTTACAATTTATTGACTTCTGTACCAAATAGGTCAATTTATTCTCAAAATGAAATGTTTATTTGTATTGTTTTTTTTCTGAAATGCTGTTATTTGTACTGCTATAGTTATAGTGAAGAATGAACCGCTCATTCACATTTTATCTCCTGAACGAATTTAGAGAGCATCTAACATTTCGTATACATAAGACAATTGAGACAGGTTTTCCAGAAATAAGCCCTTATTTAGGTAGAATGTCTGTTCGTTTTAAGATATATTTTCTACATTTTCACACACCTATTTATAAGATTCTGTTATAACACACCTATCAGCCAAGGCTAAGAATGTTGTAGCAGACCCATTCGTAGAATGTGTTCAGTATTTTACTAGTATTAATTTTCAAAGAAAAAGTGTTTTTGAGTTGGATTGTAACTGTGTTTCAATTAGCCTTAGTATCAGACAAGGCCTATTTAACTTGTCGGGAGCACTGCGAATGTCCAAAATCCATAATTTTGAAATATAAAATTGACTTGGTGCCTATAAACCTTTTTTCTGAGTTGCATTTGGATAGTTTCAAATGTAAATCGGTAGAGAGATGTTAAACTTCTTCATCTTTCGTGGAGTATACCTGGTCGTGTTTGGCACGTTAGTTAGGCATCCCTACGACAGGGAAATATGATACAATTGTCTGCAACAATTTGCAACTATGCGTGATTAACCAATAGTCGTCATTTTTCATTTACTTTATGATAACTTTTATTTACAATATTCTGAATTTGAAAGAATAATATTTAGCGTTGAAAATATCAAAGTACTTAAATGTACTAAAAACTATTCCATTTAAAATTCGAAACAAAAAAAATCGCATTGGCTTCCATTTTTGCTTTTTCGAATTATAAATTTGGATTCGAATTCTGAATTTGAAAGAGATCGGAATAATAATTCGCGTTGAAAATATTAAATTTCAACTCCTTACCCAGCGTATACAAACGAAATGACAATTGGATTCATGTATTGTAGAAGTACCAGAACTTGTCTTTGTGACGTAGAAATTTCTCTAATTTGACCATTTATTTTAATTGTTAAATTTTCAAATATTATATGCTGAACAAATACATAAATTATTTCTATTTCAATTCTATTAGTAGGAATTTAACTTGAATGAAATCAAGGAATATTAAATTGATCAAACTAAATAAGCGTTGTAGTTAATTATTACTTTTGATTTGCATACAAAAAGTATTGATTTTTCAATCTACCTCGAATATGAAGAGATATATTGCAATTAGTTTCGACCTAATCTTAGGTAAATTTCTTGTAATTATTTAATTGAAGCCAAAAAGCGGTTTATCACACTTAATGATTTAATTGAGTTCTTAACTGCGATTAAGGATGTATGATGTTCAATTAAAAGTTTCTAAGTTTTTTCTTTTAATGGTTAAATTCCACTTATATTTCTCGTCATATAGTTAAATAAAAACATTATATTTTCATTGTAAAATAAAAAAAAAAATAGTTCATAAATTTCTAAAAACAATTCAGTATATTCAAAGATTAATTAATCTCCCTAACATGTTCAGTGCCATACTCTAACTATTTATAACTATCCAACAAATTTTATTCTTTCTCTTCCTGCATCATGCGTTTGATTGGGCCAAAACGTTTTTAACCCATAAAAATATTGTTTCTAGACCCTGAAAAAAAAGAAACAGGAATATTTTCTGATTTTTCACAGACTACACCTTTTTCAAATGCAATTCGAAACATTTTATTTGAAAATGGAGAATTTCTCTTGTAATTCGTAATATTTCAATTTTAATTCGCGATTACCATTTTTAACGTTATAATTGTAATTCGAGGATTAAATTTGTTATAACGTAACGTTTGATGTTAATTCTGAATTATTTCATTTGAAATTTGATTCATTCCATTTTTGAATTCGAGACAAAAAATCGCAAAAATGTTTTACATTGGCTTCATATTTGCTTTTTCGAATTACAAGTGAAATAATTCGAATTTAAAATGGAATAATTCGAATAAAAATAGAAAAAAAATAAAATATTTCAAATTTCGAATACAATTTTACGAATTACAAATGAAATTCTCGAATAACAATTAAAGCGGTTCGAATCACATCTGGAAAAAAGTGCAGTAATTTTGCATGAGGTTAGGGTGGACCACAACTTTTGTGTGAAAATGCCGGAGTTTCCATTCAACCGGAAATATTTTTGATATTGAAATTTTCATGAAAAGGACACTTCTAACCCTTACATTGATGCTGATTTCATTGACGTATACAGTCAGATATTGGATAAAAACGAAATATATACAGGAATTGAAGCCTGCAAATATTTTTTTGATTCCCATTAGCATTTTTAAGTGCGTATTTAGAGGGCAATTTCCACGACTTTTTGAATGGTCTCGTGGTTCGGGTAAAAAACAAGGATAAGCCCTTTGCATTACTATTTGACATTATTTCAGGGATGAAATGGACCAAAAACACACACACACGTGCCTCAAATACGTGGAATGTTCGTCTGGTGAATGTAGCTTTCTGAAAAATATTGGCTTCAGATCAACGGGGACCGAAGGAAGGTAATGATGAGAACGTCCGACTTATATTAATTAATTTCAACTCCTTATCGAAAGTTCGAAAACGAGTCTTAATAAATATTTGGAATGATTGTTAAAAATAAACCAACTACACCTTCCAATAACTTGAAGGAATCGTTTACTTTTGTTAAAAAGTATTCCAATCTACTTATTGATTTGGAACGAGAGATCATACTTCTCATCGTACATTTTTCTTCCTAGTAATTATTTTCGAAAAGAATATTTGTTTACGACAGATCTTCACGGATTTGTTATCCAAGAGTGGGCTATTTTTTACTCGAAAGACAAATACCATATAGATGAGCGTTCATAGCCGATTGAAACGTATAGGCCTTGGGAATTTCCGAACATTTCAATACGTTCTTCATCGATATTGGCACATTTGCTACCAGAGGTAGATTAGTGCAAGATCCGCAGTTCATTGTCTGTGGCAACAAAAAAAAAAGCACCTGCACGAACTTTCAAGTCCCTCATGTCACTTACAAATGTCTACAGAATACAAATGTCTGCAGAATACACTTACAAATGTCTGCAGAATACATACAAAGTTTTCCCGTTTCCTCCACGTATCGGCGCAAATATTTTAGATATTTTCCATGATATTAAAATACATGTTTGAGATATGAATTTAAACTCTCTGAAACTTTTCCATTCTGACAGATACGCCCCGAAGTTTTCGGAGGGCATTTTATGTCAATTTAAACACATCTAACACATATAATCTAGCAATACAAATACATTATTTTTTGGAACTCAGCATAAAACCGACGATATATGTATGTAAGTATCCGTAGGACCCCGCAGCATATCACTTATTCGTTATGAATTAAAGCTACTGACGTGGGGGCAAATTAACACAATTCTGAGATTTCTTGTCTATCGCGACCATTTTCGCGTTTAAACAAATTTATCGCCATATGTTTGTAAACGGAAAGCCGATAATCTGGCCATGGTTTTGAAATTAGTATCCACTGACAATGTCCTCAATCCCCAATGTTAATCCAACTCGAAGTATAATATTCCACACTACAAATAGGTGTGCATATTTGAGAGAGGATTGTCGTACCAATTGTTTAACTGATTATCCCGCAGTTCGGCAGGGAGCGTTCCTTTATTCTCGAAATGGAAATCCGTATGAAACGATCCCCTATTCCCGGAATCAAAGGGGCACTTTCAGTCACTGTCCCGTTATATTGCGGATCTATTCCGTGGCGAACATTCATTAACTCGCGTGCGTTTGTTTAACTCGCTCACTGTCCGCTTCTGACCTTGCACTTTTAACGAATATGTAATTGCATTGGATGTCGGCTTGTCACTTCTTTCAGACCGACCGCGTTTTAAAAACAAATACCGCCGATACGGGCTTCTTTAGACGTTTCGTGTGCGGCACTCGAGCGAACGACACGAAATGAATTTTGCGGTTGTCCGGAATGTATATCGGTCTGAGCTCTTGCTGCCACTACTACTACCACTGCCACCGAGCGCACGGACGTGGTTGTAACTGTAGCACATGCGAATAAAAAGCCAACATAAAAAGCGAGTCAACCCTGCCGTTTCTTATAGTTATTGCTGCTGTTGTTGTTGTTGCGTTAGTCGTGTAGAGTTAGACGGTTGACGGCACCTTCCTTCTGGTTACACGGTTGTGTGGGCATTGATGGTGGAACCGCGTAAGCGATTTGTTTGTTATAGCTTTGGTCTAGCATAGGTATGTGGATACAAGCCACATGCACACAACAACATCTGGCTGTTTTTGTTGCTGTCGACTGATATTCCTGTGCGAGAGACTGTGGATGGGTGCAGGCATTGGCATCATTAGGGGCTGGTGTTTTGTTTTCGTCCTTTGTCAGTATTTTGGCAGGAGTGATGTAGCTATTGTGGCAGAGGAGAGGACACTATCCCACCCACCCACTTGCATGAGGATCGGATTCACACGTGGGAATGTGCAGCTTCACGTGCTAGTTGTGATAGTTGCAGATGTGATAATTGCCCATCGATGATTGTCCTTAGTCTGAGATTGATTGTCGTCACAATTTGGCTGCCACTTTGTGTCGGCTGTCACAAAACGACGACGATTCTGTTATGCAGCCTTAGCATGGCTAAACGTGTCAGCTGAATGTGTGTGAGTGTAAATGTTGCCGTGGTGTTTGTGCACAGATGAGTTCCCGCCAAATATTTGACGCATGCCCAGAACGTTCTCTACACCGTGTAGACTTCATGGACGACCACCGAGAAGTATGCTGTGCTACCAACCACTACCTCCCAGTCTGAAGGGCGGGTGGACGGCAAACAGACGGGTGTGAGCTTGGAAAGACAAATAACAAAAACCGCACAATAAAATCAAAGGAAATCCCCTTTACAATAAAAAGTTAACAAATGAAAATGGTCGTTGTTTGGGAATTCTCACTTTTCTACGCCGGCAGTCCCACACGTCCCATACAAACCCCAGTGCCTTTCTACGCGCATGCACTCAATTTTAGGGCAATTTGGCCAATAGCGAACACAAAGCCACCGAAGCAGTTAAATTGTTCACAATGTCATTTTGCCAGGAAAGTCTATCCCATTGTGTGCTGGTATTGTGTCAGCTAATGGGTATCGGATGTGTCGTCTCGTGGCTGCAGCCACCTGCCCCCACCCATCTGGCTGTGGCCAGATATCCGCCAGCAGTGAGCGAGGTCTATAAGCAGGCACAGAAGAATTCTCGAAACGCCAGTCCCACGTCCCCACTAAGACAATGTATTTATACAAATTATTCGGCTTATTAACCTGTTGCTGCCGCAGATATTAACTGGGAAGAAAGGACTTCAAGTGGACAAACAATTGGACTGCCAGGCTAATAATGTTTGTCATTCCCCAAGGGACAATTAGAAATTTGAGGTGTCATACTGGCCCCCTTGGCACTCGGGACCGAACTTATTGGTTCTATCTTGAGAGCCGAAGATAAATTGTGAGCTACATCCATTCTGATGGATACGTACGCATGTAAGACATGTGTGTATGTGTATTTAGCTGCGGCGTATGCACATTGAGTGGCTGAATAATTTTTGTCTCCGAGTGCCGTTATTAATTCGAACACAACGATTGTGGGGTGCTCCATTTGGTGTGACCGCACACCGCCAGACAAACACCGATGCAAAGGAGGACATTATAGCAAGTTAGCAGTCCTCCAAAAAGCCATTTAACTAATGCCGAAATTTATTGTTGGAAAATAAGTTAATATTTCAGGCTTTGTTCCGAATTTGGCGAACACACAATGTCAGCATAATGGAACGACGAATATCTGGCCGTTTCAATCATCTGTGTGTATATGTTTGTGTATGTGAATGTTGGTTCTAAGTTCTACACTTCGCAACACGGAACGAGAATCTGAAATGAAACAGTTTCTAAATCTGCAATGCCAATTCTCGAACAGTGATAGAAGGAACATCGGGGGGAAAACTCCTACTAGAATAACAGTTAAGAACATTATCCGTTTTTATACCCTCCACCTTGGAAAGGAGGGTGTATTAACTTTGTCATACCGTTTGTAACATCCCTGAATATTCGTCGTAGAACTCATAAAGTATATATATTCATAATCAACATAAGTCGATTTAACGATGTCCGTATAACGGTACCTCCCGATATTCGGTATCTTGATGATTTTTGCCACGTTTTTTCACGGATTTGTCTAAAAATTGGTATTTGTTGGTCATAATGAGTTCTGGCTCCGGTGGCGAAATATTGTATGTATAGGTCCACGTTTTGGTATAGCCCCCATATAAGGGTACCTCCCGATATTCGGTATCTTGATGATTTTTGCCACATTTTCCCACGAATTTGTATAAAAATTGGTTTTTGTGGGTCGTAATGGGTTCTAATGTTTCATTTACCCTAAGGTGGAGGTTATTAAAAGATCTGCCCGGTCGAACTTAATGTTTTTTCTTGTTTGTATTTCACTATTCTTTTGTGCGGTGTACACTAGCCACCGTGAAGGGCAGACAACGAAAATTTCCTAAAAAGGAAATAGATAAACGACCCGACAATCTATAATTTTGTCAAACAAGGAGCTGAATTCTTGTTCTGCGAAAATTTGGAAACGAAAAATGTTTTGTTTATAAAAATGTTATTTTGTCATTGATTTCCTTTTCAATCCATAGAACAAGATTTGAGCCCAGGACCTCATTTTCTGGTCTACGAAAATGTGAAATGAACTTTAACAAAGGAAAGAAATGTAAAAAAAGGAAATATCGATTTCATATTCACAGTATTGCGACCTCTAACGTTTTTGTCGCTACCGACAAAGCCCGGTACATTTCAGACGTAAAATACACAGCAAAATTTGCGTCAAGTATCCGTGATTCCAATTAAAAATGCGGCACTTATTGTTTTTCAAAAACAATTACTTAAATTGTTATACCCTACAACACTATGTGTTAAGGTTATTATAAGTTTGATAGGGTCAAAAATCGAAAAATTGGTTTCCCACCTCGAAATATTGGTTTCCCACATAGGAAAGTATATATGGATCTTCCTATCCCGCCGAGCTTAGTCGATCTAGCAATGTGTGTCCGTCCATCTGTCAATGTTAATTTGTAATCACGCTACAGGTCGCAATTATGGCCCGATCCTCACGAAATTGAAAATGGAAGTGGGGTTATGGTCAGAATAGAAGCCTATTGCTTTTAGGGGTGGTCGCATAATATTTAGGAGTTAAATGGACCAATAACTGAAAAATTTCCTGATTTCGCAGTTATTCTACAGGTCGCAATTATAGACCAATCGACGCGGAAGTTAGCATGGGGCTAGAGCTTAGGGCTGGGCAGAACCATTCCAATTTGGATGGTTATCGGGTAATATTTGGTGGTTGAAATAGACCATAACATTTGTGTTAAATAAAAGTCAAATTTTTTATTAAACCGCGAATATTTTAGGCGAAATGGTCAATTCTGACCGTTACGTAGATGCCGATAGTAAATATATTGGATCTTCCTATCCCGCCGAGCTTAGTCGATCTAGCAATGTGTGTCCGTCCATCTGTCAATGTTAATTTGTAATCACGCTACAGGTCGCAATTATGGCCCGATCCTCACGAAATTGAAAATGGAAGTGGGGTTATGGTCAGAATAGAAGCCTATTGCTTTTAGGGGTGGTCGCATAATATTTAGGAGTTAAATGGACCAATAACTGAAAAATTTCCTGATTTCGCAGTTATTCTACAGGTCGCAATTATAGACCAATCGACGCGGAAGTTAGCATGGGGCTAGAGCTTAGGGCTGGGCAGAACCATTCCAATTTGGATGGTTATCGGGTAATATTTGGTGGTTGAAATAGACCATAACATTTGTGTTAAATAAAAGTCAAATTTTTTATTAAACCGCGAATATTTTAGGCGAAATGGTCAATTCTGACCGTTACGTAGATGCCGATAGTAAATATATTGGATATATATATATATAGCGAAATATATACAATGTGTCTATACAAAGAAGGGAATGTTAGCTAGAATGGTTATATCTCAAAAATGGCTTGACGGATTTTGACAAATTTTGTCATTTCAGAATGTTCTCTTGGCATAAAAGAATAAAATCTAAAAAATCGCATAAAAATATGGCAATAATGATGTTAATACAGATTTTGTGATTTTTTTCATATTTTTTATCACATGCGATTTTTTCAATTTGACTTATAATACTGAAGTGTACATTTTGTACAACACAGGTTGGGGTTACTATATGCAGATTTCAATTATCGTTCGATCCTCACGATAATAATCGTGTTCATAAGGGGTAGGGTTAGGCTCAGAAGGGCTAGGCCTTTTATTTATAAAGATGTCCGCAATATATTTAGGGGTTGAAATTGACCAGCAACTAAAAAGGTTCCTGATTTTGCAGCCGTTATAAAGGTCACAAATAGAAACCTAGAGTTTAGGACAGCGGATAGAATGGACCACTACTTTTGTGTTTGGAATTAATAGCAACATTTCCATTCTACCGAATCGCTGAATATAACTTACCAGCGAAATCCAAAATACACAAAAGGCGAACTTATGGCTTTTTATGCGGATTTCGTTGACGAATATAGCCAAATATCGTAGACAAGCAAATCATATAGATGAGTCTAAATTTGGAGATACAGAAGGGCCTCTTGCAATTGGAGATGATCGCTGAAATATTTAGGGGTTCAAATGAACCAAAAACAGAACAATTTTCCTGATCACACAATTGAAACCAATCGACACGGAATTTTACATGAGAAGAGAGTTAAGGACAGGAAAGAAGTCTAGCATTTTGGATGAACATTGGCTTATATTATATTAAAATGGACCAGAACAACTAACAACGCGATGGAGTGCGTAAATAGTGGGCGAATGCCCCTGGTCAAGGGCAATATCAGGGCAGTGCTGTATGGCATAATTTTAAAAGCAAAATCTTCAAAATGGCTTTGGACATAAGGAGCTTCTAACATATTGTATTGTTGTAGGATATTGCATGTTCGGCCCCGCACGACTATAGCCTTTGCCTTTGCTTACTTGTTTTTTGGTAACAATGTTGTTTATGGTACAATATGACCCTAGAGTAATGCTGGAATCAAATTCAGTATGACTTCAATGTTTCGGATTAATCCCATTTTTGATGTAAAACAGATATAAACATTTGAGATATACAATTTCGCTACAGTTTGGGAAATTTCCACAGTGTGTGAGTA